AGGAGAGGAGAGGAGAGGAGAGGAGAGGAGAGGAGGGGGAGGGGGAGGGGAGGGGAGGGGAGGAGAGGAGAGGAGGGGGGAGGGGAGGAGAGAAGAGGGGAGGGGAAGAGGGGAGAAAAAACCCCATGCTGGCAATAGTGTCATGAGCAAAATATCCCCATATGTCTGTGGCTCCAGGTTTAATGAACAATTCAACCAATTTGGCAAACAAGATGAAAATAACTTGAAAAATAAACTTTAAAAAAGCAAGAACTTTTTCTTAACACTGGTAGGGTTTATGATGAATATATAAATATTTAAGTAAATCACACACATTGTATTAACGGTATTTTTGTATAAAGAAATCTGTATATTTAGTGATTTAAGTATTTGTAATATTTCAAAGAATATGGCCTCTTGAAATATGTTAGACATGCAGCCCTTATTTAAAATGCATAATCTAAGTAATCGATTTACATTTGTGATTTTAAGTGGAACTATTTCAAAATGTAAGTGCAATATTAGACATGTGTAAGAATGTAAGATTAACATATTTATAAGATTAATTTATTGGCTATATATGAATCACTTAAGTACTCCGTGAAGATTTGTTAGTCACGCAACTGAAGTACTCAACAAAATAAATTGAATATATTCAATTTATAAATGCAGTTAAAATATTTAAAGTAGGCTAATTAAGGGAATTTGTAAACGTGACCAAACATCAATCAAATGCCCTCTTAAAATGATTGTTTAAATTTAGCCGTATCTATAAAATTTATGTTTAATTTATAACGTAACAGAAAAACTCTCTAGGGTTTTGATTTCGTAAAGTTAAAAGACACTTTTCAAAACTAAGTAACAGGCAGGAGAACTGCTCAGCGGGTAAGAGCACCCGCTGCTCTTGCAGAGCCTTGGAGATTGGTTCCCAGCACCCACCTCAGACTCAAACCTGCACGCGCATCCAGCTCCAGCGGCTCTGAGACCCTCTTCCGGCTTCCATGGACACCCAGGACACATGTGGCATTCATACACACACACACACACACACACACACGAATAAAAACGATTTTTAAAAAATATATAGTAAATAGTTGAGAAAAACACTAACTGCTGAAAAACAAAACAAAACAAAAAGCAGCCAAGAGATGGTGGTGCTCGCCTTTAATACCAGCACTAGGAAGACGGGGGCAGGTGGATCTCTGAATTCAAGGTCAACCTGGTCTACAAAGCAAGTTTCAGGGCAACCAGAGGTGTTACACAGAGAAACTCTATCTTGAAATAAAAAAGTTTAAGTAACGTTTTTTATTTGTTTGTTTGTTTTTGTTTTTTGATTTTTTTTGTTTTTGTTTTGGTTTTAGGTATTTAGAGACAGGGTTTCCTTGTGAAGCCGTGACTGTCCTGGAATTTGCTTCATAGAATAAACTGACCTCAAACTTGCAGCGATTTGACTGCCTCTGCCTCCTCAGTGCTGGAATTAAAGGTGTGCGCATCACTACCTGCCTACAAGCAACTTTTGAATAGTGTTTTTAAAGTTTGTTTTTAGATTATGTATTTTATATGTGGGGGAAGGGTGCACAGAGCTCTAGTGGAGGTCAGAGGACAACTTTTGGGAGCTGGTTCTCTCCTTCCTTCCACCATGTGATCCTGGGAACTAAACTCTCGTGGCCAGGCTTCTCACTTTTACGAATAATCTTTCATGTACGTTTGAGAGCTGGGTTGGAGCTTAGGTAATAGAGTGCTTGCCTCGCATGCCTGTAGCCCTAGGTTTGAGCCCCAGCTCTGCAGTCCATGCACGTACTCAGGAGATGAAGGCAGAAGATTAGGCATCATCCTGGCTATGTACTGAGTAGAACACTTTGAGCTATAGGGGACCCTGCTAGGAGGGGAGAGGCAGAGGAGGAGTTCTTTCCACTGATGTTCTAGGCCTGGACTGAGTGAGCTTGGCCTGACTCTCCTTGATACCAAGGCCAAGGGAGTGGGGAGGGGAATCAGGGAGCCACTCCCTTGCCTGGCTGCTGTGGTTCCCTCCTCTCATCAGCAGGGCGCCCCAAGTAGGTAATAAGTGAGACACTTGCCTCATTACCAGCTTATAGCACGGCGCTTGCTCTCCCAAAAACAGCCAAGTGCATGTCATAACGGTCTGTCTTTTATTGTCGTTTGATTGTCCAAGGGAGTCCTAACTGACCTACAGGACTGACTAATTGTGGCTGCACTCAGCAGAGTATAGTGAAAGCCTGCAGAGCCCTTCCCATAAAAGGTGTCAGCTCATTACACTTCGCATAAAAGGTGCCAGAGTATGGTCAGTCACTTAAGACAAGAGGGCACCCAGTTATTGGTTGATAGTGGGTGCAGAGCCCCACACGGAGTTCTGCAGTTTGCTATGAACTTCCCTCAAGGTCTAACCTCTGGCCGTGCTGCTTTTCTGGAGCAGATAGATGTCTCGGAAGTCTGTGATGTCTGGAGGAAGGAGTGACTTGGATTTGAGGTGGCGGATGTCTGCATATACACCTAGCATCTGCCCGTTGCCTGGGTCCAAGACCCCTAGATAAAACTTAGGTTTTAGAATCCACTATAACTTCCCAGTTGGGATGTCTCCTGAGGGCCTTCTGTTCCTTCCCCAGCCCCCAACCTCAGAGGTACCTGGTGTGGTCTAAGGTTTTCTTCTATAATCCAGGAGGCAAGTCCTAAGTCCAGAAACTTCCAACTGAATAACACTTTTGGTTTGTTTCCTAAGAAGGGGCCTAAGTGTTTAAGGGATCTTTGTTTCTTCTTAACTTTCTCTTCCAAGATCTGGAGTGTCTATTCAGCCACCAGCCTTTAGGCTCTTCCTCAGCAACTTGGATAAAAAGCGAACCCACCACAGTGGTCCAGGCCCTTTCATCCTCAACCACTACTGTCTTCTCCTCCTTCCCATGGTCTTGAACAGCTGGGATTCTGGGAGCCACATCATTCCCCTGGGCACTAAGATCTAAGCCCAGGGGTGGTAGCTGAAGAAGGCCGTTCAATCTTGTGTCATTGAAGGTATGGTTTGAGTCCTGGGGCACAAGAGGAATTGCACACACCGGGTCCAAGATGCAGCAGTAACGTTTCTATACATCCACTGAAACTCACTTTACATATCATGAGTTGGGCTTTGAAGGGGGTGAGCAGGGTCTTTCTTTCCCTTCTCCTTTCCAGCCAGTGGTTTCTGTGAGAATTGCTAGACGACATGGTCACACCTGCTAACCAGTGAATGCTGGGAGAATTCTTATCTAACAGGCGAATGAGAAAAGGCAGTCAATGTCTCTTTGGATACCAAAGGGAAACTCCGGATCTATTGATGCTCTGGTCTTGAGAAATAGAGGCGAGAGGAGGTAGGGGAGAAGGAGAAGGGAATGATGAAGCAGATAGAAAGAGAGAGGGTCACAGGGCTCAGAGGCATTTCTGCCTTTGGGTGCCCTAAAATAAGGTAAAAGCTTTATCGTAATAATTTCCCTTTTTCCTTAACCTAAATTGAAGGTGGTTTATTGTTGTTGCTTGTTTATACTATTAAAAAGGTGCTAACTAACCCAGGCCTTGTGGCATAAATTTATAATCCCAGTTACTTAGGAGGTTCAGATGGAAGGATCACAATCCTAGGTCATCCTGGGCTGCAGAGCAAGTTCAAGGCTGGCTCTAACAACTTAGTGAGATGTGTTTCAAAATAAAAGCGAACAAAAAGAAAAAAAAAAAGGACTGGAGATTATGGTTCAGCCACGCATGCTTGCCTGATAAACAGGAAGCCCAGGGTTCAAGTCCCCATGCAGGGGTGTGTGGGGGTGGTGGTGACAGGGGACAGAGGACAGGGTGCCTCTTGACCAACTGCAATACAAAATTTGCCTCACACTTGCTGTCTTAAAATAATATAAATTTAGCTAAGTGTTTGGCACTGGCCTGTGGTCCCAGCACTCAGAAAGCAGAGGCAGGGTGATCAGGAGCTCAGGGTCATTTTAGGTCACACAGAAGTTTCCCGCCCAGTCTGGCCTGCAGGGAACCTGACTTGAAAAGGGACAAAAGAGCCGACGTAAACCGGGAGGTGGTTGCGCACTCCTTTAATCCCAGCACTGGGGAGGCAGAGGCAGGCAGATCTCTGTGAGTTGGAGGCCAGCATGATCTACAAGAGCTAGTTCCAAGATAGGCTCCAAAGAAACCCTGTCTCGAAAAAAAAAAAGAATGTAATTAATTCCTTTTAATGTAAATTAATTATTTCAGTCCAAAATCAAGGTGTCAACACACCCCTAATCCTGCCTGAATCCCGCAGGAAGGACTCTCTAGCTTTGGGTGGCCGTGGGCTGTCCCTGGCATTCCCTGTAGCTGAATCCCTTTATTTCTGCCTTGTCCCTCTCCGTGTCTCTCTGGGATTTCCCATGTTGCATGCATGTGTGTGCCCGCAGGCGCGTATGTGTGCTCACGTGCACAAGCCTGTGCGCACATACATGCACACGCACATGCACACACACACACACACACACACGCACCCACGCGCACACACACACACTCACCGATTTCTTGTACCGATTCCAGTCACCGGGTCTCCTGCAGCCTCTCCATGATGGGACTAGAGGTTTATATCACTGTGCCTGGTCACTTCCCTGATTCTTCTCCTGTGTGCCTTTCTCCTGATCATAATTTAGGGAGACAAGAGAGGTGTAAGAGAGGATCGAATAAAGCAAGGATGATGATGACGATTACCCTTGAATTTTATTTGTATCTACTGCTGCTTGTGCTTTGTTAGGAAAGTGACCTCGACTGTCTGTCACTAAGCTGTTAGGAATTCTCTGGTTTTAGCTGAACACCTAAATGAAGTTTCTCATTTTATCGAGGAAAACACAAAGGAACCTCCATCCCCTCGTGAGACTTCTTGGCTCTGTGCTTCCTCAGACACAGATGTTCAAAAAGCATCAACCCTTCTCACGGTGCAAAAGAAAATTCAGGTCCTGATGCAATAAATATTTGCTGTTATGCTATGTGACTGTCTAAATAGGCACCATTTCTGCCTTTGTCTCCTTTAAGTCGCAATGCTTGAGTTGCAGAATCACCACTTGAGCAAGGCCTTTACGTAATATTTTTGTATTCTTGGCCTTGAATGGTAACTAAGTCTCTTATAACTAAAGGGGCCTTGTTTGCTTTAGTGGAATCTGCCCACCTTCGAGATCTAGAGGTTAACTAACCAGCTCGCCTCCCCCACACCTGCCCCAGAGGGCTTTGCTTTGTTGGTTTCCTGCCAGCTTTTACTTTCAAGTTGAAAATAGTTCTTTTTGCCTGTTTTTCTAGAACACAGAATTCATTGCCTACCCCTGGATCCTCGCCAGCAGTGTCCCCTCTCGTGTTTTTGAAGCTGAGATGAATGTTGCAGCATGGCCCGGTAGGCTCGACCCACAATGGGAAGTCAGGCAGTTAACAGACTGGATAGCAACACCAGGGCTTTGCTCTGCCTAGGGAGGCCCATCGGTGAATGGGATTCTGGGAACACAGGAGAGCATCCAGGGTGGAATCCCCAGGACTGGACTGGAGAAATCCCATTAGGTAAAGTTTACCTGAGTTTCCTGTTGCCCTCAGAAAGTCTTTGGTGGTCTCTACCACAGAGAGGCACTCTCCCTCTCCCCCTTTTTTGGGACAGAGTGTTTGTAACGGGTTCTGTGTTTCCCCTCATTTTCAGTTCCTCTTTTCCCTCTACCTGCGCAACTCCGTCTGCCCCCTTTCTGTTAGCGCAGAACTCTCTGCTCGCCTCCCACAGGACAGAGGTCTCAGCAGAGTGCATCCATGCAGTCCATGGCCAGATGCTGGCTCTGTTGACTGACCTTGGGCCATTCCTTTACCCTTTAAGTTACTTCCTAGGACAATTTTAGTGGGTGTGTATTTAATTGCCATTCTGATTTGGATGGGACTGTAGAAGCACATGGACAGGGAGGTGCTGTGGACTCTCCACGTAGCCTCCCCCAGAGTACCATCTTTCAAAACTACAGTACAATGTGACAGCTGGGATGGTGTCATGGCTACAGTCGGGACTGATGGAAACCTGGTCATTACAAGGTCTCTCACGTCGCTCTCACAGCCACACGGCCTTCTCTCTGGCCTAGATTCCCTCGTTATCTCCGGCAGCCGCTGATCAATTTTCCCTTTCTGCAATTTTGTCATTTCTACGGTGCTGGGTAAAGGCAGTCACCGCGTATGGAACCTCTGGGTACCCTTTCCCCTCCGCACACAGCTCTGGAGACTCATGTGCACACGGGAGCGGGTTGTGTCTGCCGAGTGACGGCTGTGCTGTGGTGTTAGTATGGCCTGTTTAACTGTTCATTCATTGGAGGACATCTGGGTTGCCTCCAGTTGGGTCTATTACAAATAAAGCTGCTACCAACATTCGCTATTGGCTTTTATAGGAAATGCTAGTTTTCCTGTCTTTTGGGTAAATGTGGAAGTGTAATTAGTGGGCCATATGGTATTTGTATGTTTGTGTTTGTTTATGTGTTGCATTTATTTGTTTGTTTGTGGTTCTGGTAGCTGAAGCCTAGGCCTTGAGCATGCTAGACAGGAAGTAAACATTCAAAATACCTTCAGGACATCCTTGAAATTCACCAAATCTTCATCCTTCCACTAGGGCAAATCCTAGGCCCTGCTTACTTGACTTTGCCATATTTTAATTTTTAAAAATTATTACTTTTCATTTATTTATCATGGTGGTGGAGAATGCATGTATAGAACTTAGGTAGAGGTCAGAGGACAACTTGCAAGAGACTGGTTCTCGCCTTCCACACTGTAGGTCTTCAGGGATTGAACCCTGACCATCCAGCTCGGTGCTTTGCCCTGTAGGTCACCTTGCTGACCTGTTTTAACTTTGTACGAAACTGCCAGAGTGTTTTTCAGAGGACCATTTTTCCATTCTCACCACAATTAAGAGGAAGGGGATCAGTGACTTTTTTCAAGGACTGAACGTTCAAGGACTTGCTGAAGGTATTTTGAGTTGTTCACGTCTTGTCTTAATAAACCTCCCTGTGGGATGAACCCTTCCATCTTGCCAGGAACTGCTACCTAACTTGGCAGTCTACAAAAGAAGGCTTCTCTCCACAACAGGCCCTGACCCTGGTTGTAGACTTTCAATCTCCAGTTTGAGAAGGCAAAAACCGGCCTTGCCGGACTATGACGTTGTCACCTTTTAATCTTTGTCATTTGTGGCGACATCTCACTGGGGTTTGGTCTGCGCTGTACCTTGATGACTGAAGATGCTGAGCATCCGTCCATGGGCTTGCCTGCCTGAGAAACACTCTCTGTGGGATGTGCCTGTGCTTAGTTTTCTAACTAAATTGTTTTAATTGTTCAGGGTTTAATAGTATTTTATATATGTATATATGTGTGTATGTATATCACCACTACTCCTACATACACACATACACACACATGCACACATTAAATTATGTATCTTTTATTTTTTTTGATTTCTTTTTTTTATTTATTTATTTTTTAAAGTTTATTAAATTATGAAAGTTTTCATTTCCGCCCCTCCTCCCAACACCCTCCCACTGTATCTTTTATTTTATAAGTCACCTCCTATAGTGCTGAGGTTACAGGTACACATCCTCTGAGGCAAGCGTTCTATTAACTGACCCATTATCAACCTCATGTTTTCTTCCCCTTCTACACAGGAGACTTTTGTTGGACTTGACAGTTCAGAAATACTTTTACGAATCCGTAGTTTATATTTTTACTCTCCTTTTTTTGCAGAAGTTTTAATTTTGAGAGATCCGATACATTAACATTTTTTCCTTTAATACTGGGCAGTGGTGACACACACCTTTAATGTCAGCACTTGGAAAGCAGAGGCAGAGGCAGAGGCAGGCAGAAATAAATAAATAAAGTTTTCCCCCTTTAAGGTTCGTGCCTCCCATATGGACTATGGGAACACTTTTATATAAGTTTGCTTCTACATATTTTTAATTAGTCATTAAGTCCCGCTTCACATCCCTGCTTTCTAAAATAGGTCATAGTCTGTGGAGTACTCTGTCTTTCCATTCTTTCTCAGAGAGCCACTGAGATGCTGACTCAAGTCACTGATATCACACTGTGCACGCAGCTCCTGATCATGTGACTCTGACTACGGAGTGAGTCAGTCCAGTGCTGTCCCTGAGAACGCGGCCTCTGGAGCCAGACTGCCTTGGATCACACCTCATGCCACCTCAAAACAGCCTTGTGATTTTTAGTGCGTCCCTGGAGCCCCTGAACCTCGCATTTTCACAACACACACATCTTCATAAAAAATAATAACACTCCACAAGGTTGTCCTGAGAGGTAAATGGAATACTGTGTGTAAAATGCTCAGCATGCCGGGCGGTGGTGACACACGCCTTTAGTCCCAGCACTCGGGAGGCAGAGGCAGGTGGATCTCTGTGAGTTCGAGGCCAGCCTGGTCTATAAGAGCTACTTCCAGGACAGGCTCCAAAGCTAGAGTGAAACCCTGTCTCAAAAAACAAAACAAACAAACAAACAAGAAACTCGAACCAAACCCAAACGAACAAAAGTCCAGCACATTGTCGGGCAAATACAGAGAAAATAATAACGACTAACCATTAGCATTCTTCCCATGAGTATACCCCAGGCACGACTCTCTTTCCCCAGAGTCCTTTATCTCTTTCTTTTCTCAATATTTCTTAAGATTTATTTTTATTATTTTATGTGGATGAGTGTTTTGCATGCATGTCTGTGTACCACATGAGTGCCTGGTGCCCAAGGAGGTGGTTAGCCTCCATGTGGGTGCTGAGAATCGAACCCAGGTCCTTTGCAACAAGTGCTTTTAAGCACTAAGCCAACTCCCCAGCCGCCTCTCTCTCTTCCTTACCTCTTGGTAATCCAGTTCCTCCGTGAAACTTACCCAGTCAACCTCATTTCATATTTGTGTTACAACGTTTAACACTCCCCTCTGTCCTAATCTCTACATGACCATGGGTCTCCTGTGGGCATGCCGTGCCCCGCCCTCTTCAGGGTGTAGCTCTATGCTATGGAAACTCAACCTGTTTCTAACATACTGATACTGGGAGTCTAACGGAAAAATTAAACATTTTTATACATTTGCCTACTTGATTATTTATTTTGTGTCTGAAGGTATGTCTCCGTCCTTTGGTATGTGTGTGGAGGTCAGAAGGAAGCTGTGGGTTCTCTCCTTCCACTGTTTGGGTCTTGGGGATTGAACTCAGGTCACCAGGCCTGGCTAGCAGACACTGTTACCAGCTGGCATAGCACATTCCTTTAACGTAGTTTGCAAAAAACAATTTGGAAAACAAATCTTGCAAAACCTTAAACACAAGGCTGGGGAATCTATGCGGTTCCCTAGCTCAGGGTTTGTTCGCCTAGCCTGTGGGACGTTCTCCCTGGGATCACAGAACCTAGAACCATAGAAAACAAAACAAAACAAACAAAAACCCTCATCCCCTCTGACACAGAGTTTTACATTTTTCCAAGGAATTTAAAACTGGTCAGTCATTTGAAAGAAAAAAAAAGTGCAATAGAAATACTTATTTGTAAAAAGATAAGTACTTAGAAAATTATAAATGCCAATAAGAAAAATATCAGGAATCATGACAAATTCCGTTTATATGGTGGAATATTATACTGTCAATACAATTTTAAACAAAATTGCTTCATGGGTTATATGGCTGTAAAGGCATTTCTTTATAATTGCAAAAAATAACCTTGAAGCTCAACCAGTGGATAAATTAAGTTGTTAAAACCCAGAATTACAATGACTTCATTTGTTTAAACCAACGCCTGTGCATGCATGCACCAAAGACACAGGACAGGAACGGGAATGGTCTTCTGGTAATAGCTGTTTGGTGATTTTCATTATTATTTTGACATAAGAAAACAAGAATGAGGACTGGAAAGATGGCTCAGCTGGTAAGGGTGCCCGCCACCAAGTCTAACCGGGTTCGATTCCTGGAACTCATGGGGCTGAAAGAGAGAATTCACTCCCACAAGCTGTCTCCTGACCGTCACACCAAGCCTCGGCACACTCAGTGCCCATCTCCCACACACAGACAAAAAGAAAAACAAATGCCAAAAAAATGTCCTAAGGCAAATAAAAATGAAAGCTATAATCTCCTGTGAGTTTTTATTGTTTGTTGGCCTTTTCCCATTATAGTTTAAAATAGGGTCTTACATGTTTTTCAGGCTGGCCTCAAGACCAATCCTCCTGCCTCAGGCTCCCAAGTGTTGGGGTTACAGACATGTAGCATGACAGGGAACCATAATCTTTTCCTACTGTAATTAGATGCCGCCTTCATGGGTTACTTTTATGACCTGCATCAAAATGATAAGAAGAACCGAGGCTGCAGTGACCTTTCTGCTTTTTAGTGTGACTTTCACAACACTGTTGAACTTTCTTCAGGTCAGAGACTTTAAAAAACGTCTTTTGAAAAGCACATACTTATCATGCCAAACATAATGGGTGTCTTATGACGGTTTGCTCATGTAAATAACACACTTTGATCATCATAATCGCCCATTACCCTCTTTGTTCCGTCTCCCACCTTCCCATATCTTTCACCTTCTACCTTCCTGTCTTTTTTTTATTTACGTTTTTGCATAATAAAAGAAAGTATGGAGTATTTGACTTTCTGGGTCTGGCTTATTTTGCTTTGAACTAAAGCGGGACAGAGGGATGGGGAACCTATGGAGGTATGGGGGAAGGAATGGAGTTTTGCACCCCCAAAGCTAGTTGAAGCCTTTAGGCAGCTGGGAGTAAGGACTCTAACACAAACAGTGTTTGTTTCAGGCATCTCTCCCCGAGAACCTGCAATTTTCTAGGCAACTCAACAGAAACCCTCTTCCAGTCAAAGGGCGTGGCCTAGGTTGCTTGTGTAACTCTGGTGGCCCCTGGTTTCCTCTTCCCAGATTGTAATTCCGCCCAAGGTGCCTAGGAGCCACTCAGTAAACCCAGAGATCGACAGAGACCGAGCAGGTACCACCCCTTAGGAGCTGCACAATAATCACAGTCGTCAAAGGCTGTCAAAACCCTACAGAAGGTCATCTTGAGGAGACAAGAGCGCCTCTCCTTTGGGATGCTCACATCTTAATGGCACAAGTGTGGCTCTCCTTGGGGATTGCTCACCCATCCCTCCCAAGTACCTTCCTATTAACCTCTGTGCTGAGATCTGGGTTAAAATGTTTTCAGTCTCCAGGTGCTTCATGAGGACGCGTCCTGGAATTCTTTTCTCCAGCAAGGACAAGAATCCACCTTTATTCTAGCGGAGGAACCCCTCAGGCTGCTGGTGGCGGTTCTTATCTGTGTCTCCCGCAGCCCAGTCCCAGACAACACGGCGTCGCCAGTTCTATCCCTTTTCCCACAAACCACATGCGCTTGTTCTTCATGCTTGAATAACACTCTGTTGTGTGTATAGATACTCCTCAGATCGTTTTGTTGTTGTTGTTGTTTTTCTCTTTTTGAGATAGGATTTCTCTTTGTAGACAGACCTGGCTGTCCTGGAATGAGCTCTGCAGACCATGCTGGCCTCGAACTTGGAGATCTGCCTGCCTCTGTCTCTGGAGTACTGGGATCAAAAGCATGCGCCACCACACCCAGCTTTCATGAAGATATTTTGGTATAAGCTTTATGGGGTTGGACAGATAGTTCAGCAGTTAAAAATGCTTACAGCAGTTAAAAATGCTCACAACTGCCTCTATACCTCCATTTCCAGAGATCCAGGTCCTCCTTTGGCTTCCTTAGATACTGTGCTCATGTGTAGCACATAAATTCACACAGGCACAATGAATGATTATATATATAATATATATTTAAAATATATATAACATATAAATATAGATTTAAAAGATATATAAGTATCTTTATATATCCCATCCATCCAACTATCTATCTATCTATCTATCTATCTATCTATCTATCTATCTATCTA